CATGAAACAACCCCTGCACAACAAGTGAAGCAAAGGTTCAACGACGAACAAGATCCGGAACCTCACTAGCTAACTTGCTACAAACCGCGCAATACATCATAGCGGTTGCTGATGGTGTTCCTACTGCATGGAAGGCAGAGTCAGTGATCTGCAAGCTCCACCAAAGCGCTAGCCTCGTCAGCTGCAATGCTGGCCACCTGGCTTTCCAAAAATCATCAGTGGAAACGGGGTGCGGATGACTCTGTTTTGCCAGGGTCTACTATATGACGCAAGACCCGGTGTAGGCTGGACGTTTCCAACAAATCCCTGCGCCTCACGAAGCTTCTGCATCTGCTGCATGGGCTCCATGACGTCACCTGGCACAGCAGCTGTTGAGAGCCAAGCCTGCCCAACGCAATGGATGATGTTCCTTGCAAGCTAATCCATCCATTCTTCAATGGGTTGACTTTTAGTATCACTCATCTGAAACCTGTCAGAACCTGCAGTACTGTGAATTGTGCATCACAAATTTTCTCAACATTGGCCCCCTATACAAACCCGAACTTTTAGGATTTGCAGTCTAGGCACCTCCCCATCGAAACACATAGGCACGCATACACTTCGTTGAGAACCTCATGCTTCAGCGTCCATCCTACAGAGCTTGGCCATGCAAGGACGGTTTCGCCTGGCCGTGGCTGTGCCTGCTGGAAGTTCCTAGGCGGTGGATGTTTTTTTAGGGATTATGGAAAAGAAAATGGAAACTACTATGTAACTTTAGGGGTTTATAGTATGGATGAGTTTGCTGCCGTTACTGTTGCTCCTTGCATCTCTTGTTCTGGTTTCAACTTTTTGCCGCTGGCCCTGCTGTAGCTGTGATAGGTACTCCACTACGCAACCCAGAAAGCTGATACTTTTGTGCCGCAGTTGTGTTCCAAGGCAAAATGACACATGACTCGTTGAAGGAACCCGACAGGCCCTAGCCCCGAGCTCGAATGGTTCGAGCATAGAGGAACCAGCAAAGTTTTCGGTACACAGACCAAGGGCAGCCCAGCTTCGGTGAAGGGTTAGAGCTGGTTCCCGACGACGTGTCGGGCGGGACGAAATTCGCTTCTGCCTGGGGATAGGCTGAGGCTCTGGATACCGTTAGCCTTGCACACGTTCAGAGGAGCACGTGCTAGATATGAATCTGGCCCTGTACCTGCCTGTCCACACACCACAAGCAGGGTCTGCTGCCCGATCAACAACAGGCCCATGCAACAACAGATGAAAAAGCAAGGCTTCCACAGTCAACCCCGATGGCACCAACCCTTGTTGTCCGAAACTTACAGCTTCCGAAAGCCTGAGACTCTGAGAACCACCCCTTAAACCTGACCTGAACTTGGAACCTTTCAAGCCTGAGGAGGCATGTGCCACGACCACTCAAGAACACAAGGAAACTTAAGGCCCCAAGCCTTAAAGCCCTAAACACCAGTTTCATGATGCTTGAGTCATGGAGCCCTGGAAACCTCTAAACCTACCCTAAACCCTAAATTGTAGTTTCCATTGTCTTGTCCACTATCCCAAAATAAACCTATATAAACCACTATGATAATATAGTAGTTTCCATTTTCTTTTCATAATCCCTATATAACTACTAAACTCTAAACCCTGTATAACCCCTTTTATAACCCGTAAACCCTAAACCTTATATAACCCCTTTTAGAACCCTAAACCCTATATGATCCCTTTTATAACCCCTAGACCCTAAACCGTATATAATCCCGTTTATGACCCCCTAAACCCTCTTACACAACACGCTCTCCACCTCAGCTGCTGCCGCAGGGTCCGCCACAGGCGATGATTTTGGAGTCGCTCCCATGCCTGTGGAGGTCCCTTGGAATATATATATATATATACATATGACAAATATATGATACACACATATATATATGATATATATATAAATATATTGTGTCATATATTATATATGGTTTAGGGTTTAAGGTTTACGGTTCAGTATATCACATATATATATATATATGAAGCTATAGTCTAAACTCCTGGTACCCCCTTCTGTTATACTCTCCATGTACTTCCCCGAGTTTAGACTTAAGCTCTATAAGGGGGGGTATATAAGGGATAATGGAAAAGAACATGGAAACTACTATTTGGGGTTTATGGCTGAAGGCTACTGAAGGATTTGGGGATGACCATTAATATACCCCTTCATATACATGTAAAGATACACTCCTTACATTTTGAGGCACCTGGATCAAAGAAGCCAGAGTACAAGCTCAGCAGCCCAAAAGAGCAGCAAGGATTCAAGGGAAAAAAGAAAGTCAAGAACCCCCAAACTCTTCTGCAGATAACCTGAGCCACCAACTGCGTGCTTTTTCCAGCTGGCTCTCCAAGGAAGCTGTGCGTTTCTTCACAGCCTGGCGTACATAGGCATGCGTCGAACTTGTGTTCTTCTCGAACTTGTGTTCTTCGGGATTCAAGATCTTGCAATCTCAGCACAGACAAACTTACTGGCAGCAAGAAGCCACGTCTTAACCCCACGGACCCCCCAATACTAGCTTCCATTTGTTCCATTATCCCTATATAGCCCCTATAGAATCCCCATAGATCCCTATAGAACCCCAAGCCGGAGCCTCGTAGGCGAAGCGCCAGGTCGAGCCACCTGGCTCACCGGGCGCTGGTGCCGCTGGTGCCTTGCATCTTGTAAGCAGCTTTCTATTTGCAATTCGAAGCTGCAGCGTGGACTTCAACTCAAAGGCTTGCTGGAGTTGGAACGCCTTTCTTATTGGATCCTTTTTTGATGGTGCCTAGCGCCTCCTCATACACCGCGAGCTACTTGACTGATAGGAGCACCATAGGAAATTAACAGCCAGCTTGCCTCGACGTTGATCTTGATGCCTGTGGCACGGGTGCTGCTGGTTCGATCCGGAATTTGATCAAACATGTCTTGACAGGTTGCAGCCCATGCAGGGTCTGGCACAAGCCTTCTGGGGCTCCCAATTGCTCCGCCAACGCGGCCTGCCGCAAAAGCGTTCAGGTTCTAGGATCCAAGATCTTGAATCTGGATGGTCCAACGCTTGACGACTCGTGAGCAGGCAAATAGGCACACCCCGTGGCCGTAAAAAAACATCCAGAAGCGAGGCTTCCAGAACTTCCAAGTATCGCGAGACCCTACACCCCTAACAGTAGTTTCCATTTTCTTTTCCATTATCCCTATATAACCCCTAAATAACCCTCATAGAACCCCTATATGACCCCTATGTAACCCCTATATAACCCTCATAGAACCCCTATATGACCCCTGTGTAACCCCTATGTAACCCTCATAGAACCCCTATATGACCCCTATATAACCCCTATGTTCCCCTTCAAACCGCCCCCCAACCTCCACTTGCTTGCTCAGCAGCTTTGCCCTCTCCGCCTGTTGGCTCGCATCAGCCCAAGCTGAGAACCAACGGGGTATTTTGAGGTTTAGGGTTTAGGGGTTTAGAGGTTTAGGGTTTAGGGTTTAGAGGTTTAGGCGTTTAGGGTTTAGGGTATATGAGCTATAGTCTAAACTCCTAGTATCCCCCTTCATATCCCTTATAATGCTCCCCTATATCATCCCCTATATATCCCTTCTGTAAGGAGTTTAGACTATAGCTTATGTAGGGGTTGTATAAGGGTTCTATAAGGGTTACAGGGGTATTGTAGAGGTGTTCTAAGGTTCTAAGGGGTTACATAGGGGTTCTAGGGGTTATAAGGGGTTGTATAGGGGTGATTGGGGTTTTGTAGAGGTGTTCTAGGGGTTACATAGCAGGGGTTAAGGGGGTTATAGGGGTTTTGTAGAGGTGTGCTGGGGTTCTACTGGGGTTATACAGGATTCTATAGAGGTTATATAAGGGTTATAGGGGTTTTGTTTATATAAGGGTTCTATAGGGGTTATAGGGGTTTTGCAGAGGTGTTCTAGGGGTTATTTGGGGGTTCTATACAGGTTTTGTAGAAGTGTTCTAAGGGTTATTTAGGGGTTATTTAGGCGTTCTGTAGGGGTTCTGTAGGGGTTCTGTAGGGGTGAAAAGGGGGTATATATTGGGGTTATATTGTGATAATGGAAAAGAGAATGGAAGCGAATATTTAGGATTTTTGAGTTTGTGCCAAACTCCTAGTCCTCGACACCGTTTGGAAAATGGAGGTGAACAACTAGTTGCAGTCATTACCAACGATCATTGAAAATTCATCTTCGTATTAAACTTATGGTTACTAAATATTTTAGATTACTACAAAAAAAACCCTAAATAAACCCTATAACCCCTGCACAGCCCCTATGGAACCCCTATAGAACCCCTACAGAACCCATATAGAACGATAAATTACTACAGAAAAGCGCCAGCCCAGTGAGCCTCGGCTTCATAGGCCTCCCGGAAGATTGCCTCCGCCTCGGAGTTATCCTGGGTTTGGCAAGGCCTGGTCCTTTCTTGGGGTCCCTAGAAAAAGGATGTAAACATTTCAGCTTTAGCTTGATGTGGATACAAGGGGAGGTAGCCCCTTTCAATTGAGGACTTGTAGGTGTCCTTTTAGGTGGTAGGCACGGGATAGGCACGAGGCTTCCAAGGTTAGAATGGCAGTGGCATGCGATTCTTGGCATCCTGCCGTGACCACGGTGGCCTGTCACCGGAAACCCATACCAACAGCAGCTGGCAGAGCCAATCTTTAAGGTGTGGGGTACTCATGAAACACGTTATACCCAAACATGTGCAAGCACAAACGATGCCTCTGCTGCCTCTCCATCCTCAGCCTGCGGCCAGGGTCGAGGTATTTACAGTTTTGCTGCAGGCAACTGTTAGGTCGGTTGCTCAGTGCCCTCCGCATCCCTGAAGGCAAGTTTAAGGCCTTGCACAATCTTTATCAACCCAGGGAGCGCTTCCAATCACTGAGATCTTCACTAGGCCGCATCTGCGCCTGGGATGCCCATGCTCCCCCTCTCTGTCTCTTGTGAAAGGGAACATGTTCTGTTTCATTCACATCCCCATATCGCGCGCTTTTCCTCAGCTCACAACGCCGAGGGTCACAGCTTCCCTTCGCAAGGAGCTCTTCTCCTCGTAGCTAGCTCTGACACGGGCGCGCCGGTAGAAGCAGCAGCCGGCGCAAAGACCTTGATGTTGTGGCAGGTCATTCAATCTCCCATACAAATGGCTAAGCTTGTGAAGGAGGCAGCAACAAGGCCGAGCAACAAATCATCAGACCTCAAAACTCGCAAAGCAGTTGGGAGGTTTCCGTGTGAGCACCTTCCTGCTTGGCAGTCTTCGCGACTTTCCACGTCAGACTTCAGTGCTATTTTCTCAAGAGTCTACTTCATCAGCCCGCCATCAGACTGAAGGGATATCCCCACATGCCCATGTTGTGCCATCATGCCAAGAGGCACGCGCCAAGGACCGATCCAATGATGTTGCCATTCCCAGAATCTGACGTCAAGGTGGTACCACTCATCAGATCATAATCGTAGTAATACTTAGAATATTAAGCATCATTAGAATGATAATAATGATAAGATACTGCAGTAATAAGAGTAAATGATCTTCGTAGATGATAGTGTGAATCATAACATTCAAATGGCCACAAGTTTTTTTTTTTTTTTTTTT